AAAAAAAAGGGAGGTTGGTCGTTATACTGCAATGAAAAGTGCTTGATTGTACAAGTGCAATTTTTTACGTTTATGCGTAGAATTGAAAGTGTAGGTATGTACGTACATATATGAGCTTATTTTTTTTTCTTACCGTTTTTTTTTAGAAGAGACATCGGCATTAAATGATATACTCTCTAGCCGTTAACAGCAGTAGTGGTTTTGTAGTAGTAGTAGTAGTCGTCCTTTCTTCCGGGTAATCCTTTTTTTTTATTTTTTCTTTCTTTCTTTCCTCATCTCGGCAATGGGGTGACGTTGAATTAATATTAACACCTGTTTACGTCCAATGTTGGTAACATCACAAATAATATTTAATTATTTTTTAAGAATAATTTATTCCAGTATTTTTCGTATTTTTCCTCCGTTTCTTTGCCTACGTTCTTCTTTCTTTCTTCTTCAAATATCACAAGAATATGCAAAAAAAAAAAAAAAAAAAATAAGAAAAGAAAAAAACCTGACTCAAGGCATTTTTTTAAAAAAACTCTCTTCAAATCTTTTTTTTTTTTTTTTCGGCCAGTAACATCGGATGACCTTTTTTCCTGTAGTGTAGGAAGAAAAAAGTAAATAAAAAAATAAATGTGATGATTCAGATTCACACAGATCGAGGCTAGTGGTAAGGTTTGGATTATAATTGATTATTTTTAATAATTGAAAACAGCAATCTTAAAATACTGGTCACTTTTTATTATTTCTTCTGCTGACCAACAGTGACTCTTCCTCTTCGACGATAACCTGACTGGTATTCAGAAAATAAATGATAATAACGGATGGCGATTTTTCAAAATTCGGCACTGGTATCCTGGCTTCTTATTTTCTTTTTAAAAATGCTTTTATGATACTGATTTTAGCCCCTTAAAGGGGAACAGGTGAACAGAAAAAAAAGCTAACAATTCTAGTTCAGGTAGAGGTAGGTAGGTTTGGTTAAAGTAGGGTTCAGGGTGAATATTTTGACAGCAGACTAGGTTCTCCGTTTTCTGTTTGTTTCCAGAATCTCAGAACTGCCGTGTGACTTCACAGTGACCTTCCCGCTTTCTACTGACATGACCACAAAGGCAGTAGCAGCTGCGGTCTCCCAGTAAAGGCAGAGCCATTGTTAACAGTAGCCGGTTCATTATTTTTAGCCATGTAGTGCTGCTGGCCCGAATGATATTAGTTACTTTACTAGCACAACTAGTATTAATTAATTTAAAATAAACGTAAGAAAAGCTTTAAGTCCAAAAACCTACTAAATTACTAAATAATAGCCGCTGACTGGTTGGATGAAGCAAATTTCTGTTAGTGTTCAACTGTTTAGTGAGTTTTTTCATCTTCTTGTTTATCTTATTTTTCACGATTTTGTCTTGCCTCATATTTCAGATATATGTGTTTTATTTCCTAAGAAGACGATAAAAAGATGTGCATATTTCTGTCTGATAATTAATTTTAATTATTTTACTTTATCTTATAATTTTATCATAGATTTCGAGGTCGTTCCGCTCTTCGATAGTTAAATTACGATTTCACGCTGTAAGGACCAAAGAGGGGGTCTACTTACAATGTTATTATTAACACCCCCCCAAAAAAACAGCAAATCGATAACGAAAATTAATTCGCATTTTTCTTTCTTTCTTTCTTTCTTTCTTTCTTTCTTTCTTTCTTTCTTTCTTTCTTTTCTATCTACCTACCTACCTACAGTTGTTGGTATAATTATTTTTGATGACATAAAGTTAAAATGAAAAATAATTCTTTTCCTCCTTTTTTGTAACGTTGAAAATTCAGGCATGCTTCCAGAACCTTCACAAATTCACGCCAAGCAAGGTAATAATGCCACTAAGACACAAGGAGTTACTAGGATTGAAAAAGAATGAAATAAAATTAAATAAGTGGGTTTAACAGATGTAAAAAAAAAAATGTTTTTTTACAAAGATTTTCTAAAAAGAAAAACAAATATTTCAAAACTAATTTAATTCATTTGTGAATAAGTCCTGAAAGTTTCATTAAAATTCGAAAATTATTTTTAATCAGTTTACCCCAAGCAAGGCGATAATGTCACTAAGATGCCAGGGGTTACTTGGAGTGAAAAAGAATGAGCAAACTTTAGAAGGAATCGAAAACACATTCAGAAACAGGAAACAAAACTCTACCCCTGTTCAAAAGACCGAGAAGGCTGTGAACCGAGAGATAGGCAAATTAAAAATAAAGATTTTTTTTTTTAACTTTAAACACATATTTTTATGTACATTAAAAATTAAACAAAACGTATATAGTGATAATATTTTATTTTGCTCAAATGAAAATGACTAAAACAATTTTGACCTTAGAAAACAAAAGTAAATTCTTGATGAAACGGAAGTAAAAAACAAACATTGACAACTTTAGCATCAAACTGTTATATTAAAAAGTAAAATTTACGATTTGCAAATTATGTAAATATACCTAATGTATAGGTTCAATTCAATTAATTCTAATTTTACAATTATTGCGACTTAACCATTGACCTGTGTAAAGTGGTAATAGATGTTTTGCTATTGTCATTCAGAGTGTAATGAGACATAAAACATTTCAAGGCGTAGCTCAAGTCGGGGCGCCAAAATTCCATGCACCCTCCCAGGCGCTGTAAACACTTACTATGCCACTGGATTAATATAATTTTCCAACATCAATTGTTAAAACACAAGTTAAAATCATTTATACATCATCAATTATTAAAAGAAATATAAGAGTCTCTGAATATTCTAAGCACTTCAGGTATAACAGTCTCTGCAAATCCCAAACTTGCCCTCGGCCAAGGTTCTCTTGCCAATACACTTCATGTACATCCACTGAAGACAACAGTTACAGACCACAGAATCTATGTTCAATTCCTGCATTCTCAGCTCATACAACCTCTGCGCAGACGGGACAGGTAAAATAGCCTTTTTTTAAAAAAAAAACTGTACCATAAAATTCATAGGACTGTCTTACGAAGCAGGTTATTAAAGAAATCGACGGTGTATCTGTATGTATAGTTGCGGAGATAGATAGATAGATAGATATGAACAGAGTGAGATTCAACCATAGATAGATAGATAGATAGATAGATAGATAGATAGATAGATAGATAGATAGATAGATATGAATTGACTGGGAATCAAAGAAGGAGATAGATAGATAGATAGATAGATAGATAGATAGATAGATAGAAATGAACTGACTTATTTTACCGAGCTATTTCGCGGGTAAATATTTTTTATTATGAAAGCAGGTAATGGTAAAAATAACAACACTCATATTTAATGCAGAAGTTTATTTATTTTCACCATCAATTGTTAAGACAATTTAAAATCTTTTCTGCTATCAATTGCTAAAACAAAAGTTAAAATCATTTATTTAGAATCAATTACTGAAAGAAATATAGAAGTTTGAATTTTTTAAGCAGTTCAGGCATAACAATCTCTGCAAATTCTCAACTTGCCCTTGGGTTAGGGTCCCTCTTGCCAATACATTTCAGGTGCACCCACTGAAGACAACAGTCACTGAGTCTATAGTGTTCCAATATGCCCACACAGATCACATAACTACTGCGCTGACCTTCTTAAATCTAATATATTCCTATTACTAAAACCCTATATCTATTTACCGGCAAAATAGCCTTGGTGTCTATTTTACCTGGACCGGTAAAATAGCCAACTTAAGTAAATTTAAAAGATCTCTGTTTCAAAAAGCATGGGCAATGCCAACAGAACTCTGAACTGGAGGCAAAGAATTAATCTACTCAAACTGTTATATTGAAAAAAATAAATATTATATTGAAAAATAGCATTACGATTTGTAAATTATGTAAATATATCTAACACATAGGTCCAATTCAATTAATCCTAATTTTACATTTACTGGGACTTAAATTTTGGCCTGTGTAAACTTGTAATAGATGTTTTGTTATTTTCATTCAGAGGGTAATAAGACACAAAACATATAGTAAAACATTTCAGGGGGTAACTCAATTCGGAGCGCCAAAATCGTATTCACCCCAATCCGAAGTGAACGCTTACTACGTCACTGAATTGCTATATAGAAAATAAACCCTATTCCCAACACAGTTTCTATGTCTCATCCATTTACAGTTAAATTGCCGAGATGTAGCCGTAACCTTTATGCTAACAGTTTTTTTTTTCTCGCGTTTCTCGCTTGTGGAACTCTCCTCTGGTCTCACACTTTCCAGTCAACTTTAATCTTTAAAAATTTAAATGCAGTATCAATCGCTATCTACTATCCTCCTGATTACTCTTCTATTGTTCTCGTTCCTTAGTAACGTTTCTGTTTCGAACTCTTCCACACACAGTAACCTCTTGTATTTTAGTAGATTTACTGCGTTGCTTGGGGCGAACTCCATTAAAAAATGCTATATTAAAACACGCACACATTTTAGTTTCTAGCCAATAACAGATAATATTACAAACATGACAAAAATATTCCACAATGCAACGCACACTGTTTAAATCAAAGTGTCTATTGGTTAGAAATTGACACCACCATGTGAAATATTTGACCAATCAGAGAAAATTAAAACCCTATTTTTTTTCGAGCCTACTTTCGGAGAAAAAATTTCTTATAAAAACACACAGATTTCGACTTTCAGTAGCACAGAAAACGTGACTACATAACTTTTTCCTTCACCACCATCCACCGCCTGCTGAAATAAACGTGTATCGGCGACTTCATATAAATCATCTCTAACAATAACGGCACTGACGGTCAGTGAATCTTCGCTGATGATCAAATTCTTTTCTAAACCCCAGATTTTTCTATGGGCTCACTTCCCAGAGATTTTTAACACAACTAAATACAGGGGAACATGACGAAAATTTACAATGGTTAGCAAGCATGTCTCGCCAGATCAATTACGAGTGAAGAGTGAGTTCGATCCTTACTGGGTGGCCCATACTTTCGGCTTTGTACCATATCTAAACTTTGCTTAGAAAATCAGTATCTCCAACAAAAGCATGGCCGTCCAATCGGTGACTTCAAACAAATAATCTCCAAACAGCAGCGACGCACAGTGAATCTTTACTCGTGATAAAAGTCTTTTCTTAACTCCAGCTTTGACTATGAATCAGTAAAAGACACCACAGCTTTTTCAGTGAACGAAGTACTCAAGGACTTTAACTCAACTAGAAACTATTTTTAATCAATTTTGACTCTTTGGAATTCATGTACATATGTTTGTAAATAGAAATGATTTATTTAACAGGCACACCCAGTTTTCATTTTTCTGTTTTATTATTGTTTGGAATTCGGACGTTCGAATTTTTAACATAAAACAAAATGGACGATAGAATTTCCTACAGATATAATTATCTTCAGAATGAAAATCTCCACTACTTCATTTGTTTGTGTTTTGAAAAATCAATATTTTGTTATAATTCTTTTGTTTAATAATCTAACCTAATCCCTTAGTTAAGAAAAAAAAAAATGGCTGTGGATACGAGAAAAATAATGAATTTTTTTTCTTTCTCTCTCCTTTTAAACCTTATTTTTTAATTAAAAAAAAAGAAAAGCTGAAATATTTCAATTTATTTACAGTTAAAAGTTTCTAATATTTCAAGGTTTATTTAAAAAGTATTTGATTTTTAAAAATGTATTTAGAATTTCTTATTACACATGCACACATTCACGCACACACGCAACCGATAATGCGGTAGTGAAAAAATAATGCCAACAGTAGAAGTAGTCATTGTATTTGAGTTCAAGTTAAAAAAAAAAGTCCAAATGTAGAATTCCAGAGAAAGCATCTATCTATCTATCTATCTATCTATCTATCTATCTATGAGAAGGAGCAAGTTCCACTCACTGCTTATTACGTAGAACTGTTGATTTGTGGAACTGACTCCCGATTTTTGTTGTGGAACTGACTCCCTATTTTCTGTTGTTTTGTAGAAGTAACTCCAATTTTGTCTCTTTAAGTCCAGGATCAACCGATATCTATCTTACACGTTCTCATAATATGCATTTTTTGCTTCCTCCTTCTCCGACCCTTGCAAAAATATCAGTAACTCTCTACCTTAGGTGTGTTTTGGGCCTTGTTTAAGATTGACTAACAGTAGAAAAAAGAAATCTATCTATCGGTGTGTGTGTGGGGGGGGTGCGGTGGAGTAATGGATAGCGGCTCGGATTGAGAAATCAGAGAGCCGAGTACAAATTTCAGTCGAATCCATTATATCTACTTACGTGCTAATACCCTTGGGAAAGGTATGAATCCCCTTCTTCTCCCCCGCTATGGATGGTAATTGGTCTACCGCAGAAAGAAATGACAACCCATTGCGGGAAAAAAATCTGCCTCGTCAGTCATGTATCGAAATGATACATGATCGCCTAAGCGTGTATCACGTATGGTACTTAACTGACTGACTGAATATTACTGTTTACATTCTATTTACATTTATTATAGGGATATGATATTGGTTACTTATGTTTATTTTTTACGTTTCAGTTTAGAATTATTTTTTTTTTGTGAATGGAAACTCCCTGATGAAGGGTTATAAACGAACAGTATGAATTTTATTTAGCATTTCAAAAAAAAATTTGACAAAGAAGTATTAATTTTTCCTTAAACCAGTTATTCAAAAATATATACTATGATATTTACCACGTGAACTACGATGAAAATAAAATTAAAAAAAAAGATATGGTATATAATTTTGTTTTTGCGCAGGGGTTCCTTGAGACATGTAATTTATATTAAGGGTTACACAAGGGTAAAAAGGTTGAGAAATGCTGACCTACAGTCTCATCCCCAAACCATCACGCAATTTCCGTTGTTTTGAGATTGAGGCAGTTTTCCTTATTAACCTCCCATCATTTTTTTCCATCCATCTGCTCCATCGACAGATGTATCACGCATAGCACATAACTGACTGACTGATCTATCTATCTGACGAAACTGTCTACCCAAATTCGTTTAATATATGAGAGCAATATGCAAAAGTATTTGACCAGAACTACACCACAAAGAACTGTTGGAGTGTTAAGTAAGCTTTGATAAATTTGGGACGGATATTGGAATAATCCAGGAGCGATACTGGGAGCAAACATCTTGCATACGGATAGAAAATCAATTCAGTAAATATACAAAAACAGAAAAGGGTCTAAGACAAGGATGTGTCTTATCACTGAGAGAATTTGATGTCCTGCCAGGATTCATGATTGGTCGCCATAGTCTTAACAATATACGGTATGTAGATGACACATATATTAAACAGAGAAAGGAAAGGATAGGAATTTTTACAGAAGTTAGTAAAGGAAAGCGAAAATAAAGAACTATTAATTGTAAGAACTTCTTTTTTTTAGCAAAAAGAAGACCCCAAATTGCAAATTGCAGATGTCATAATCAAACATTTAAAAAGATTTAAATATCTCGTACCGTAATTTCTCGAAAATAATACTCATTTTTTTTTTTACTTTAAATTCCAGGTGATATTAGGGGTGCGTATTATAAATAGGTTTAAACAAAAATATATTTTCGTTATTGATTAATAATAATAAATAAGCAGTTGTGGTTCTAAAATGAGAAAGATATTATTTCAATTTTCATTTTAAATCCAACAATAATAATTGTAACATTTTTTGTCAATGAATTTATGTTTATCAGTAACCGTATTTTTTATTTGGCGAAAAAAAAAAATCTATAAAAAACTCGATCGTCTTTTTTTCTCAAATTCAACTAAACTTTGTTCCATATCTGGATATTGAGCTTTTCTTCCTCTGTCTATAGCTTTGGAACTTGATTTACATTACGTTAGCCTCATTCAACTCATATTCTCTAGCTGCAGCTCTATTTCCTATTCTTTCAGCTAATTCGATTATTTTTGTTTAAAATTTGCACTATAACTCGCACGTTTTGACGACATTTTGACGGTAAAATAAAATGTTATATTTATCGGGAAAACCCAACATTATTTTAGCCGCTTAGTTTCGATTTTATTCTTAATGTCAATGTCGATAAAATGTCTTCGTAATTTTTTTTTTTTGAGAAAATTTATAGATGCGTATTATACATAGGGATATATTTCTTAATTTTTGGATCATTTGTTCGGGTGCGTATTACTTATGGGCGCGTATTATTTTCGAGAAATTACAGTAAATGTTTTACCAGAGGACTGAAAATGTGACACCGACACTTGAATGCGTATTGGGATAACAAAAAATGCTTTCCAAAAGCTAAGCAAAGTATTAAGAAACATGAAAATTTCATTAGAAACGGTGTAAAGAGTACTGAACTGTTATGTAATATCACTCCTTCTTTATGGCAGTGAATGCTAGGCAATCTCCTTGCAGATGAAGAAATAACTTGAAGCAACAGAAATGTGATTCTACAGAAGGATACTGAAGATACCATGTGAGCAATAACGAAGTTTTGGAGAAAATAAAAACAAAAAGGATACTTTTACTTAATATCAAAAAGTGACAGTTAACATTTCTAGAGCACATAATGGGGAAATGAGAGCTTAGAAAATTTGACATTGACAGGATATATTAAAGGCAATTGGGACAGAAGAAAACGGCGAATTTTGAAGATGAAAATTGGCTGGGAAACATGGAGCCGGAAAAGAGTTCCACAAACGAGATGTACGAGAAAAACTGTTAGCGTAGAACTTATAGTTACATCTAGCCAACTGAACTGTAAAATGATGAAACTTTTCTTGCCAATTTCGTACTGCGTTTAAATTCATAAAGTCTAGGTACCATAGCGAAGAGTTCGTCCGAACAATTACCATGAAAGTATTTATAGAAATATCACAGGCGGTGGAAAAGTGACTGAAGTCGAGACGCCAGGTCAGGACTAATAATATTGCTGATTCATTTTGCGATTTTATCTCTAAATATACGAAAGGAGAACCGGACCATATTTGGCAGCAATATTCAAAGCATGAATGAATAGTAGATTTATAAATATGTAAGATAGATTCAAGAGAAAAAAATGATCTAGCAATAGATTCAATATAACCTTTCCACAACATGTTAGCTGAGAATGTTAGCCAGATAAGGCGTAACAAGACACTCTCGTGGAGGTTGTTACAAATTCATGACGGTCGTCCTCGAGTATAGAATCCAGAGGTTGGCAGTGAATATTTCGGAGACAGTAGGAAAGCGTAGAGCAGGTTAACAGTGGATATCGTAGCAGAGCATAGTTATTCCTTCTGGCATCTTCACCTGGCAAGTTGGCACTGGTCCTTCCGGTAGAGTAAACAAAGATGGCCGCCTTTATACACGTCGGATACAGTGTTCTGCGGCTTCTGAGTGGTTAATCTTCTATTGGTAGACTATAAAGGGAATTAAGTCATTTTGACTAATTCCCTAGTCATATACCTATATACACAAAAAACCGTAACAGAGGTTAGTATCAGCCATGCTTATGGGAATGCAGAAAGAGATCTTTCCGGTGATTAATAGAGAGAAGAAATTTTTAAAATTAACAAGCCATTTCTTGCTCCAGTTAACAACAGATTGTAGGTCATTTTTGTAACCAGCTGCCAATTTGAACTAATCAGACTTACTATTGTTTGACTATTTAACTACTATCATCCCCTGTTAGTTAATGCAAACTGCATGTTAATAAAAAGAACACTTATGCTCAGAACCAGGAAAAGACAGCTGAAATTCCTTGAACATGTTATGAGGACGGAAGCATCGGAAAATTCAACCGTTGAAGGGCATATTGAGGAGAAAAGAAATAAGAGAAAGGCAGCGAGCCACGTACCTGACGATCTTGTGTGAAGGAATGGCGGAACGGGGTAGGGGTAACCATTGGTAAAGGGAAAAAAAAATGCTGCTGGCCACAAGTGATAGGAAGATTTAGAGAGCCGTGAATGTTCATGTCCGGAAGGAACGCAGCACATAAAAGAAGACATAAGTAAGTTAATGCAATTATTCTCGGCATCTATATGTGTGCGGTAACACGCACACACACACACACACACACACACACACACATAGATAGATATATCTATATATATTTAATAATAAAGAAGGTAATGACCAGAGTTGTATTAGAACAGAAAACAATAGTAATAAAAGCGTTAGGAAATCAATTGACTGAAATCACCTGAAGATACCAAAAAGTTGAAACCAAAGAGGCTGAATCGAATCGGCTGATTTCTGAATATATATATATATATATATATATATATATATAGCGTTTCCCACCCTGCCAAGGCGGGAAGCCACTAGGATGCAAGGGGTTACAGGAAATAGCAAGATCAGATAGGAGTGATAGAAGAAAGTATGAGGGTAGTGGATAGATCAAGGCAACTGGAGATGTCGATTGACATTACACTTGAATAGCTGGAGATTATAGCTTACAGGGAAACAGGAGAAGGGAAGGGAGTTCCACAGGCGAGAGTTGCGAGACATGAAGCTATTAGAGTAGAAGAGACGGTTACATTTAGGAGTTTCGACGGTGAAGGAGTGAGAGCGGGATGCCAGCCTCGTAGCGCGCTTGAACTCATAACGTCTGGGAACCAGCGAATGCAGCTCCTCGGAACAATTGCCATGAAAGTATTTGTAGAACAGACAGAGGGAGGCGACGGCGCGTCTGTGAGAAAGTGACTGTAGACGAGACGCCAACCATATTGCATATCCGCCTCTGGAGCCTATCAAGAACCCCGAGGCAAACAGAAGGGGCACCAGACCATATATGGCAGCAATACTCCATGCAAGGGCGAATTGTGGATTTGTATATCTGGAGGATCGACTCAGGGGAGAAGAACTTCCTAGCGTGAGACCGAGAAGCCGCAGAGAGTTGCTCTCGAGAAGTTGAGCGTCAGACATTCTAATGGAGGGA